GGATGAGCTGGGATGGGCATGGATGAGCTCGGGTGGGCATGGATGAGCTCGGGTGGGCATGGATGAGCTGGGATGGGTATGGATGGGCTGGGATAGGCATGGATTAGCTGGGATGGGCTGGGCATGGATGGGCACTGATGAGCTGGGCTGGGCATAGATGAGCATGGATGAGCTCGGGTGGGCATGGATGGGCTGGGCTGGGCATTGATGAGCATAAATGGGCTGGGACACCAAGTAAACACTTAGTAGATGTATGTAATGTTATAAGTGTCAGTGTTGCTATACTCATTGGTATAGTAGTCATTAGCATAGTCATTAGCATGCTACTCATTAGCATATTTGTGACTCGCTACATGCCGCCTTTACCAAAAAAACAGCTTCCACAGGGGTCAGCACAGCGGTCGAAGGTCAAAGGTTATAGGTTTAACCGATTATTCGTGGAGGATCGAGGAGCTGTATTTTAGAAATACAAATGATAATTGGGCAAATTTTACAGAAAACAAATAACCTTTACATATCTATTTCATTATCTATCGATAAAATATGACATAATTTGACAATTTGAAGAATCTGTTCGCTGAACTATTGTAACGTACCCCCATTTAGGAAACAGTGGTATCTACTACCATTGCAACATGGTGTCTGATGAAAGTTAGAGAACTCATTGCACGATGATCTGTCAGCTCTAAGTATAGATTCTACTCAGGTAGACTATATAAGAGTTAACGTAAGACTCAGACCTTCAGAATAGAGTCTTTGGAAGAAAAGTTTAACTTAAGACAAGCGTAAAGAAGCTAGAAAGAAGCTAAGATGAAGAAGAGACAGGTGATGAACTGTATATTCTCGGCCTGGTATCCGAGGTTTGAACACCTGACGTTTCCCAGCGTGGTCCTCCCGCTACCGGAGCAGTTCGTCAGCTATCTACTGGCCGACGGGATCGTCCTACCCAACAGTGTCAGGGGCAAGAGCCACAAGGTACGTAGCAAACATGGGGGAAGGGGATTCGAACCAAGGACTGAAGGAAGTCCTTCACTTTTTTTGCTCCAAATATTGAAATATTTTAATTGAAAAAAAAATCTGTCAAATGCACTTTGTGTAGTTAAGTCACATTTCTGATACTGGTGGTTGGTGCTAAAACAGCCCACGTGCTTTGTCTACATGTACAATGTACACTGTACACTAGTTCAGAACTGCTCTTGCTGTTTCTGAATCTAAATGGTAGTAACAAACATGTGCCTGTGTCATGTTTCTACAGTCCAGTTACAAGGCCCATCCTGATGATGACTCTGATGTGGAGGACCCTGATTGGTCAGATGATGATGATGATAATGCTCCCACAGATGCACCAGAGTTTCCTGAGTTGGAAGCTCAGATTAAACAGGCTATCACTCATCTTGGTGGAAAGGTATTGAAGACCAAGAGATCATAGATAATTGTACAAAGTGTGTCAATCATGAAGTAACTTCTGATGTGCAGGTTTGATTGTCCCATGACAAGATATATAACACCAAATAACTCGGTAATACCAAGGACTGTAATGTCCCAGCTAGTGTTCGGGAGGGCAAATTTGTGAATGTGTGACAGGGGCTTTATGAGGGTGATGAATTTGGTACATGCAAAGAGCCTGTTCCATTGTATTCCCTCAGGTTTTCCCCAAGCTGAACTGGAGTGCCCCAAAAGACGCATCGTGGATTGCCATGAACAACAGTCTACAGTGTACCAGTCCTGAGGACATCTACTTACTACTGAAGAGTTCGGACTTTGTAACACATGACCTCACACAACCCTTTGACAGGTTAACATATTTGATGTTTCTTAGATTCAGTTCTCCTTGTAGGTGCTACATATGCATGGTTTAAAATGTTTAGAACATGATATAGACCATGCTGCAGATTTAAAATCTAATTGTACCAGTATGTGAATTTGCAGATGTTGAACAAATAATAGGAATGTTTACATTAGCATGTAACTGTAAGGGTGAGCTCCTGAGTCTTTTATCCTCCGTAAATTGACTTAGGAGCTAAAATAGGTTTGGTAACCAGACTACAAAGTGATAAGTTTGATTGAAATTCCAGCTAGATCTCTTAGTCTTAGGAACTGTTGTTTAACCCTGCTTCCTATTGACACAGATGTGAAGATGAGGACACGGATGTTGACGTCCCTTATGAACTGGTTCTACGCAGGTGGACCAACGTCCACCCAGGGATGGAGTTCAGGTGTTTTGTCAAAAACGACCGTCTCATAGCCATCAGCCAACGCCACCATTCCAACTTCTTCCCGTACATCCACGACCAACACGACAGCATCCAGGCAGATATTGTCGACTTCTACCACACAGACATTGAAAAGAAGTTCCCAGATCCTAGTTTTGTATTTGATGTGTACAGAAAGAAGGCTGGAAAGTTGCTGCTTGTGGACTTGAACCCATTTTGTGAAGTTACAGACCCACTGTTGTTCACATGGGACGAGCTCACGTCAGGCGAAACCCAAGGGGGGTCAAATTCCACGGAGGGGGAAGGGGGTGAAGAAGGGGTAGTGTTTCGGTACATTAAGAACGAAATGGGAGTACAGCCAAACCCTCTGCACAGTTATAGAGTGCCGGAGGATATCGCACATCTAACCAGTGGGGAGGATGCGTACAAGCTCATAGACTTCCTGCAGATGAAGTGTCAATCACAGGAGGGGGAGGAGTCATCTGGGATGGAAACATGATGATAGATTGGAGCACAGTAAGTGTAGGCTCCAGTGTTCTAGCCAGCGTCCATCTTTCTGTCATTTGACAGAACTTTGTCACTCATGACATTAAAAAATTTTGCCCAATCCGTCATCTTTGACAAAAATCAGCGTGTAAAGATATGGGAAGAGATGCATTAAACTAAGCTTAGTCTATCAACCAAATTTGCGATCAAACTTATCAACATGTACCTAGGTTTGGATATTATACCCAGCATGATAACATTTCACTGTGTTGTTGCTCATCTTTCTTTTTTTTTTGCACAGAGATGCGCTCAGTACATAAACAAATATGTATACTGCTCTATTTTTTCTAAAGTTGATTTTTCCTGTAGCCATAGTAAATGATACAGTACCAAGTTTGAGATTTACTCAGATTCATTTAATTCTTACATGATATTTACTTCTATACAACAGCAGTTGTTGGCAATTTTGGTATATGAAGGGATGACAGTTGTACCACTAACGTGTATGCCACCATCTCTACAGCTATTGTATGTGTATATGTATGCATCTTTGCCCAGTTCTCAAAGAATTATTAACATAATAACAGCCCTTTGACAGTTAGTTACTTTGCAAACCTACAGAATAAATTATTATCAATAATGTTAGTATAATCATCATCTCTATTACAGCAACACTTTTTGAATTATTTTATATTTTCTTGTATTTACAGTTGCATCAATGCAGCTTCTCTAGCACTTTATTTTCCAAATCATAATTATGCATAAAACATGCATGAAAAGACTTTTAGTGGAACATTTACATTGTATCATAGCATGGTTGTGACATTGGCTGGGTGAATTACATACATTAACATTTCGTAAAGCACCAAAGCTCTTTGCAATCAGCTATTAGAACAGTCCCTAAAAACTCCAACCTTCTGTGTAGTGACATTTGACCACAACTGCATTTCCCTTTATTTAGTCCATAGTTAGCAGTATTTTTGAATGCCCTTCTTTTCATGCGCTGAAACTGTACTTTTGTACCAGTACCTGCTTTCTTGCCCAACTTGAAAATTATACTTGCTTTAAAACACCACAATACACATAGAAGTAAATGGTAATTTAAGTGGTCCCATATACATGTAGAACAAAGATTTATTTGTGTACATTCGTGTATTGCAGAAATTCTAAGCACAATAAAGAAAAGCATCCCTACATATATCGGTACATATACTGTTACAGTAATGCTGATGTAGGGTAAATAAAAGTACCTTTAATTAATTGTTCAAACTACCTTACATACATAATTGGTCCACAAGGTCTTTCCAATCATACACAACATGCACACCAGTTGTGCAGCAGCGCACCCCAACTTCACTCAACAGTACTGCAGCCTCGCCAGCTGAAAATATGCTGAACTGTTCAAGTCAAGACTTTACAAGTCTCTGTGCTATGATAGACTATTGCACACCTTTTACATTACAAACGTCAAACAAAAAAACAAACATGCGTCATTTCTTTCTCGGACTACAGGCTGTTTTGTGATGGTGAAAGAAAGGAGAAAGTGAGGTACCTATAGTTGTCCAATCTGTGCACATATAGATATAAATTCTATCACCTATTAGTAAGAGTGGAACATTTGGTTATGAAATCCAACTCGTGACAATTTCTCAATAGGTGACAACTATGGAAACATTGTACATTTTACATTGTATTCTAAAAGTCAAAATTTTCCTAAATCCCTTACCTACATTGCATTTGAACTATATTTAATTTTTCTATAAATTATAATAAATCTTGAGGATTTAATGTGTTGTTTCTAGATCTGTTAAGCAACAGTATTTAAAATCATCACCTTCTAGAAATGAAGAATTTCTATTTTGGAAACATATGGTACCCTAAAGTTAAGTTTCTGTAGTTATGATCATTTTTGGAACTGCTTTTTTTTTTCAAACATGTCGTCAGGAAGAATGAAATATTGTAGAAGCTGTACGTAGGGTGTAAAATATGGTTCTTGTCTTGTTTGAATGTCTCAAAGCTCTATAATAACCATGCCTTACGGACATACTGACTGTTGTAGTATCAAGATACATTTGTAAGTAGGAATCAACCTACAAACAGGTATTTCTTTTTTCACAATAGGATGAACAACTACACATTGGAGCCATCAAAATGCCCAAGGCACCCTAAGTTAAAGGTAGTGCATTGTGTAAACTAGTTCAATATTTGTGGCAGTTCTAGAAACACCACCAATTAGACCATTTTTTTTACTGTCATTGTGTTTTTACCACTTCTGTGATCTGTCTGTCCACTGTGTTTGCCTACCTGTATGCATGTACATTTTGTACATGTACAATCATCATACAATTTTGTACTGCAGCTTCTCTTTACTTTAACGGTACCTTCCAGTGAGTATGTACACACACGTTCACCCCTTCCAAATTGCACATGATGCATTTCCAAATATCTCTTCCTGACAAGTAGCACAAAATTGGACACTAGTTATTTTCCTATTTACATCATATTTTGGAAAGAGTTGAGACCAAAAGAAACAAGATTTTGAATTGTCACTATTCACTTTTTATCTTCAGCCCCTGCATGTGATAACTGTTTAGATTATACCCTGCAGAATGATTTCACCATTTAACAACGCCACCCCCCTCCCCCCAACGAAATGTCTGTCATACATGTAGGACTAGAACTTCTGGGATTCGAACCCCGGATTCGGAGTCCTGATTCTCGTAGTCGTCTGGCCCTATCCCCATCATCTCACAATACAGCCTGTAGCCCAGCTCATCTCATTCTCGCTTAGCCTTAGCCTGAGTCAGTTTGGGTTTGTCCACGAATTCTATACCGTTGTAGTAGACGATCGCGAGGGTAGTGATGCTGGCCATGCCCCAGAACAGCACATATAGCAGCTGAAGACTCCAGTCCGCTGTGTGGGGAAAGACAGAGGTGTACATGTAAGTGGTGGTGTACAGTGCATTAGTTCTTTTAATATCTGTCTATTCTATGGCAGTGTTAAAAAATACCATCTTCATATGCAGGTTAGTACATACACCCAATTGGTCCACTGCCCTGGTACGTGTTCAGGGCTTGAAATACCCACGTGAAACATGCAATTTGCGGCAGGTTTTCAAGATTTGCAAGTAAAATTATTCTGAACTTGCAACATTGGATGTACAGGTAGTTGAAAGTCACCAGTATCATGTTTGCACACTGCAAAAGTCTAGTGCAGTCTGGGATCTCTCGATAAAGAATGCAGTGGTGTAGTTGATACTACATGTATTTAGAAATGCTACTAAACTGAAGAAAAGTTTTTCTTGAATGTAAACATGTATTGTAATACTATACTGTTTGAGACCATTTGTCTGGTATATACAATGTATATTTGGTACGGTATTATGAGAATGCCATTCAAGTGTACTGTTTGTTGCATAAAGTATATGCTTGAGAGACATAATTTTTTCTTCCAGCCGACAAAATAAAAAAAAAACATCAGAAGCTCAAAAGACATGCAGCAGTCACAATGACAAAAAAACGCAAAACAAGAGCATCAGCCGTGCAAGCGAGACGTTTTAACGACAATACTACCCCGTGCTCTGCGCGCGATCGCTATCCCCACCCCCGCGCCCGTCCAGGAGAGCTGAGGGAATATCCACGTTACCTGCAGGAATGAGCAGACAGATGAAGCACATGGACAGCGCGATCAACAGGAAGAAGGGCAGCTGTGGGAGAACAAACACATCGGCAGGCTCATCGGTTAGTTCTTAAAGGGGCACCATGTAACATTTTTGCAGTAAAAATTATTTAATAGATATATTTTATTCAAAAGAATATTCGTATGATTGTAGCTTACTTCCACATTTCAACACATTTGTGCAATTATTTCACATTTGTGACGTTCATGGTTGGTGCTATAACAGTCCAAGGTACACATGATCATGACAAGGTATATTAAGTTTGTGGTGCCACTACAAACTACCAGAATGTAAACAAACATGGCTTTCAACTGTGTTTCAAGCTTTTAAACTCGTAAGGCATCATATTGACACAATTGTAAAGGCATCATATTAACACCTCCACTTCCTGAATGTCAATGAAAATCTGCATTCATGTATAGTCTAAGTCAACAAAGTACTGTACACTATATACATGTATGACAATTTTGGTACTATTAGTGCTTTTATTTGGGAAAAATGTGTTCCCCCCAAGCTCTATACCCTCCCCCGGTGTACTTACAACAGTATATCTGACACTTCTGGGCTGCTGGAGAGGACAGGGCTTGTTGATGCACTCTGCCTCATCAACTATGTAGTTCCCAACAAACAAGTCAATTGCATCCTGTGGGGGAGCAATTTAGCAGAGTTTATTCCATTTGTAGACACATTCACCAATCACTGTCTTGAAATGTCACAATGTACAAAAGATTCACATATGCTCCAATGCAAGCACCTGTTACATGTTGCATGTGTATATATTTTTGTAAATACCATGTTTAAAAAAAGTGGCCTACTATTCAGGTCACATGTTGTGGCCTGATGTTTAGGCAAGAGTTAACTGACATTTAATAATTACAACAATAACTATAACTGTATTTTCCCCACTCACCTGTCTGAAGCCATCGTAGAAGTTGTTCTTCATGTACCTGATGGCAGAGTTGTAACCATCCATCAACAAACCCAGGATTGTCCTTCTCCCAGTCCTGGTGGAGAAAAACATGTTATTGAAGAAGCTACACAATATGTTTCATCAAAGCAATTAAGTTCTCACACAGGAGAATTAATTCACCAGAAAGTAGCATGCACTGATCATCAAAACTTGAAATTCCACTACAGTACCATAACAAGCTGCTAGGAGGCCCAAAATCTATTAGCAATTATTTTGAGGTCTCATCAAGACCTACCCGCATACCAAATATAAACTTGAAGACAGTTTTTCTAAGTCTTCTTTGAGGTATCATGTTGAAAATGGACGGACAAAACATAAATGAACGCCATCAAAAACATAACCTGACGGGCGAAGGTGACAAACCTGGTGTAGTCTGTCTTAAGGGCCCCGGTCCCTGCATATTGCTTGGCCAAGGCATCTGCATTGTCAGCCCACACTGGAGTTCAGGTGGAAATAGGTTACCAACAAGTAAACTATTCCACAAATAGGATTCACAAACAACAAACACTTGCAATTCTTGATATACATTGTCTTATCTACTATATTAAAGACAAATAATAGCTTTTCTTTACTGACACAGATGGATTTAAAAAAATTTGTCTGAAAAGAAATGTTAACTATAACTCCAGGCAACATGCTTGAAGACTGCATTCATGTGTTACTTACAGTTCTTGTAGATAAACTCAAAGGCAGAGTGGTCGTCTATTCTCTCTCCCAGAGACAAGACTCCCACCTCCTGAGAAAAAAGAATCCAACATGTGTGTTTCAGGACATGTATAAAAATAATATTATACGTATCAGATACATTACATTAAGTGACACGCCTCCGAGGTGTTGCCAAAAAATCAGTGCCATTGAAATACATGTAAATGTAAATGTATCAATAGTGTTAGAAGACATCTACTCTGTTGCTGACCTGTAGTTGGGACTGAAGGCTCCTCCTAGCGAGCATGCTCTGAACTACATTGGTTCTGTCCAGGCAGTCGATACAGTTGGTCCTGAACACGGCATCCTGCAGCCTGGCCACCGAGCCGTCACTTCTGCACAGGTAGTACCTTAGGAAAACAGTAGGGGGCGCAAGGAGACTGTCAGCTTCTAAAAGAAGCGAACTCTTGCAAACAAGGCATGGGGTAAGGAATTTCCAGAGCCTCGTAACCCAAGCTTTGTCTATTGAGTCAGTTAGTCAAGCTTACCTAAGCTCGATGTTTCTGACTTAGGAAGAAGAGATGCTGCTACAGTGAGAGATAGTTCAGTGCCCTTGTGGCTTGGCACTGTGCAAACTCATTGAAAAAACAAAAGGCTATCCTCAAAGAGACTCACCCCATCTTGGCCTGGTCCTCTGCCAGTCGGTCCATGAGAAGAGACAGCCTGTGCCACTGTAGAGCCCGACACTCACGGTGGAAGTCAAATGACTCTATCCTGTGCACAACCAACAACACAATATATACTGTAGTTCACATTTTTATGTTCATGGTTGCCAAATTTCACTTATGTATATCAGTCATAGGATGGTGAATAACTCTTGAGTACATGTGCATACTTGTAAAACTGGCCTTTATTCATTCAAAAAAATCAATTACAGATTGCTCAACTAGATCTAGAACACTTGAAGTCAGTTTAGCTCTGGTGGGTGCTATTTTTTACAACAAAAATGAAGAAAAACATAACTTAGACCAAAATCTAAGTGGTGATTTAATCAACCAAATTTTTACTTGAGACACAGGAATGTCTTGAGTAGTAACACAGTGACAAAACACAGATAAAAACATCTGAACTCCCCGTACCTGATGTTGTCACTCTTAGAATTCTGGACAGCATCTTCATAGGCCCTCACCAACTTATTCTCAAATCCCTTCTGGTCAAGCTAGATGGGACAGAAGGAATACCATGAAACAAGTCTTAGTTTGTTGTGTGCTTACTCTATGGTCTAAGGCATTGCATATGTGTGCTGAATTGGCTGCTGGAATCAGCTATAGAAAGGGCTGCTACATTTGTAGCTTCAGGTTGGACAGAGGGCCAGGGACAGGCAAAAATGTCCACACAATTTTTTTTCTGTTAAGGGAATGAAGCAAAACATTGAAGATGTTGAGAGTTATTGGGAGAACTATGTGACAGACTTACATGATATCTCTCCATACATAGAAGTACATATCTAAGTAAGTTGGCTTAGTTCCAAACCTACTACAAACAGCACCAAAATTGCTCTCTGTAATCTGCTGCATGGTGTACTATTCAGTATCATGGCTTGGCTTGTTCACTTAGTGTACAGTTACCATATGGATTATGACAATATCATAAGTGTTTACATACCAAGTTGACGTTGACCTGTCTTCCATACAGAACAATCTGGCTGTCAAAATGCCTCTGGAACCCATCTTGCTGCAATACGGAAACAAAAAAATAAACAATTTACTTTTGACTCTCATGCTTTGTAACCCCCAAGTTAACCACATAATTCTTCTCAATATATTCTTTAATAAGGCCACACCAATTTAATTTGTTGGTTCTCGGAATCGCCGCTTCAAAAAATCGCAAAATGAAAAAAAAAAAAAAATTAATTCTACCCCAAAGCCCCGGACGTCGGGGAACGTGTGTTTGGGGACTGCGTGGCTGGCACCAGTTTTCCTGGTAAAAATACAATATTAGTGCCAGTGAAAAGCGTGTCCATTTGTAAGAAAACCCATTAAAAGTCCCCAGATACCGTTATCTTGGCAGAGAAAGCGGTAAATAGCTTATTTTCTTGATGAAACATCGGGCCGCTGGCGTCTTTCTAATCCGATCCGCCATCTTTCTTTGTTCATTTTAAACTCTCGGCCCAACTCTCGCGAGACTTGATATCCTTACATCATTAGCGAGGTCAGGTGACGAGGTATCTTACGTACAAGTGAGCTAAGTGGGCGTTTCAAAATGTTCCCAGAATAGGCTTATTGTTTGGGGGATTCTGAACTGCAATCTGACTAATTTGGCTAATTTTTGAGGGGAAAATAGAGGAAACAATATTCTAAACAGCCTCAAAGGTGACATTGTTGGCAAAGCTGGTATTTGAAATGAGATTCTCCCTCGTGGCCGAGGCGCGCATTGGCCAAAGAGGTTTGACAATGTGTGACTAATTTTCTACCCTCAGGAAATCTGACTTTGACAAACTTGGCCCGAATTTTCTTCATGGGTCACATGATTAACACTGTGCTAGATTGTTTTTATATAGCTTAACTTTAAAATAGGATAGAAAAGTTTCTTTAAAGGTAAGACATTGTGTCGAAATTTGTCTTACCAAAATTATGAAGCCATTTTTTTGTCTTGATGATGGTCCCTTTTATGTTTTCTACTCTGTATAGTAAAGGAGGTGTTTAGTTGAATGAATCCTTTATATATAATGTACATGAGCTTTAATCATTGTAACTACTTCTGACTTACACTTGTATAAGTTGAAAATTGTAAGAAATAGTTCAACATTGTCAAGTTTCATTAGCAGTAAATACTGCCCAATATTGTCTAACATATCACTTGACATAAAATTGCCTAATAATTTTATTTATTAGGAAATAAAAGATTTCCTTGCTGAAATTATGAATACCATACTAGTAATACACATTGTGCCCACGCTGTGCCTGCCGTGTGGCCTCGCTGCAGTAGGTCCCCCTATGCTGTGAAAAAATCCTGGTGAGAACCCTGCATAGGCTATAAAACAGCAATGTTTTAGCATGTATACTAGCATGGGCATGTTTTTTTTTTTTTTTTTTCGTCCCTGTCGCTTTACATTTTTCATGAAAAAATCCGAGAACCAACAAATTAAATTGGTGTGGCCTAAACCTAACACGTAACATGTTCCTGTATACATGAGTGACAAACACACTTAATTATTTTATTATCAAAGAAGACAGTAAGACTTAGTGATGTTTTTCCACAACTTTTGCTGACCCCAAAACACATAATTCTGTAAGTAAGAATTTTATCAAGAACTTCAATAACTCAGTAACTGTGTGATGATTACATATAATTGGAAGTTAATAAGATGAGTTAACTAACCTGCTTGAGTGCAGTACTGATGATAGGAGTGGGCTTGTACTTCAGGTTAGGTCTCTGGGACCAGTGGAGGGGCACCGAACCTCTGGTCTGGGGAAAATACAGGGTAAAACAACAAGATTATGTGGTCAGTTTTACTTGCTGCATTGACTGTTAGCACAATGTGCAGGTATGCAGAAAAAATGTTTTTCAAGCCCTGTCTTTCCTTGCAGCAAAGTTCAAATAATTTCTACAAACATACATTGCTGACTTATGCATTGAACAATGTCAATTTTTCATAGGCCATCTTTCTTCTACCTTGACTGTCGGAAAGAACAGCCAAACAGAAAGTCATTTTTTACCCTAACATCTGCTTGAATACACTTAAGTAAAACTAGTTGTACCTGAACAAAGGACCCGCGGCTGCTCTCGTAGTCCATGATCTGTTCTGTCTCCACGTAGTTGGCGGTGTGTCCCTCGAAGTCCGCCCCCCGCATGTAGTAGCGGACCCCAGCACGGTAGCAGCAGCGGCGCGAGATGACGATGAGTTTGAACGGGCGCTGGTTTACATGGCAGTGTTTAACAGACACGTCTGGTGGGGCATAGTCAAGTAAAATCACTACTGATAATACAGACCAGAAAAAAAATGGATAAATTTCAAACAATTTTTAACCTCCTCTTGCAGTGCTATCAAAAATAGTAAATCAAACATTATATACATGTATAGTAAGCTTATACAATATTTGATATTTTCAACACAAGAAGGATACAGCCATGAAGAACTGGGAGGATAAACCTGTGAAGCTGCAATAGATAATAAATAAATTGATGTTATTAGTCAGCACAACATGAAATGTACACTTAATAGCAAACAAATTTAAACTCTATAAAAATGAAGATATTGTTTTTGGTCTGAGTGTGACATTCTGTAGCATATTTAGTTTACAGCAACATTAAAAGCCTACATCAATGGATATATATATTCCTAAGCATTTGCACTGACAGTGTAAAACAAAGACATTCCTGTACCTCAGGTTGTGATGTGAACTCCCTCAGCAGGTGTCCATTCCACACAAACCTTTGGTCAGCCTAGGGTACAGACAAACAAACTTCAGTAAATGTAAAATTAGGTCCTGAGTAAAGAGGCTAAAGTTTTGTATTCCAGCATGAATAGTGCACCAAAACAAGTAGTAAATGTATTTTCTGTGTGCTTTAAGTTTAACTAAAACTTCATGTCCATCTTAGTCAACATAAAGATAATATTGAAAGAGAGCTTTACAGAGAGGCAGAGAGAAAATGGTTTATCTATCAAAAACAGACACTTGCAGCACAAGTGGCTGAATTGTAGTTTGTACAGTGTTTTTTGAATGAAGCAGCTGTATTGAAAAAGACGTACTGTATTAACCTTCTTGCTGCAAACCTAAACCCCGTATATGCCACCAATTCAGTGACAAAGGCTACCTTAGCAGTTAGAAGGTTAAGAGACCCTGCCTACCCTTTCATACAGAGGGAATGTGAGGAACTCTGCGCTGGTGTTGTTGAGCCTCTGCTGTGTGTGGGTCAGGTCGTAGGTGCTGGAGAAGTAGTACCCGTTCTGGCGCAGGACCTCCTCAATCATACGGAGGTAATCATGGTTGGCTTGTTTCTGGAACACAGAGAAAACCATTTGTACTATTTGTGTTGATACACAATGTATACATGAAACCTGGACACCAGTCTTGACCATTTTATAGCACAGTATGTTCAAGGAACTATCGTAGAGTGGAACTCGCTGCCACCAAGTACAGTTGGGCCATTATCATTAGATAGCTTTAAACAATGTTTAGAAATAGATGTTCAAAGGTTACGTGTGACATGTCCTTTGGCATATATTAATAATTTAATATAGTATATATAGTCTGCAGTTACTAGTAAGATAATTAAAAAAGTCGATCTCTCAGGTGCTAATACTGCTCCCCAGCTGCCCACAATGCTTACCTGTTGGTCGTTGAGATGGTCGACAGACCGTGTGTAAGGGATAACCTGAGTGTCCTCCACTCTCCAGATGGGGTGGTGTTCAATGTCCCCTACCTTAGATACCTTGGTGATAACAATTAGGTAAGGACCTGGGAAAAGCAGAAAAAAACATAAGACATATGTCATAGGTCTTTATATGATGGTGAAGGTTAGACATCCAGGTAATAAGATATGCCAAAAAACATTTACTCAAGCAACTGGATATGATTTTGGAAATGGTCAATGGCAAGATGGAGGATGGAAGATCTAGCATTCTGCGTTTTTAAAATACAAAATTTCTTAACAAAGAAAGGGGACGTACTGGCTATGAGTCGCACAACTCCCATGATGCCGAAGATGGTGCGTGTGATTGCGGAGGGCGGGATCTGTCCCTTGTTCTCCACCAGCGTGATCTCATAACTCACACGGTCGATTATCATCAACTCATTAGAGTCCAGCGCCTCCACATAGAACTTCTCTGGGTCTATGTGGCTGTAGAGAGGATGTAAGCATGTAACTAGAATGTACAGAAACTTCAGTGTGCAAATACACAGACACATGTACAGATTGACGCATACACACACACATACACACACATAGACATACAATACACACACACATGCATACACACAGCCACACAAACACAAACACACATACAGAACAATGTCATACTGACACACACACACACAGAAATACATATACATGTAATACACACAGGCATACACACAATACAGTGAATACACAGAAAGACACACGCACAATACACAGGCACACACACACACACACACACACACACACACACATGCACACAGACATACATACAGACAAACACACACCATGTCCTGACAAAAACAATACTCCCCTTCCTTGGGGCAAAGTAAAAGCCTTCTGTTCTGCTGATCAATAGACTTATCAATCAATCTGTGACTGGGTAAAGTGGGAGGGGCATGTATGACACGTACAACGTAGAACCACTTTATTCCGTCTAGTACTAGGTCACCGGTCAAGCAGTGCATTTTTATACAGGGCTGCCGAGACCAAAAGATGTTTCTTCAACTTGTTCTTCACCACACCTGCAACTATGCGTGTCTGAGGCAATGGGGTTTGTCAGGTATGATAGCTGACAAATCTACGCCGATGACGAAGTAATTTATGACCACACATCGACATCCTGTTTCGATTTTATGGGTGCACCGGCCGGCCCCGGCTCGGATCTTGCAATTTTCCCGTTCAAAACGAGACAAATATACGACCACAGTACACCTAATTTTGTTCCCTGGAGTAATAGCTATCAAATGACCGAATGAGAGGCTCGGATCGTTTTGTTTAGCCACCAAAACGACAAGAAAACGAAAAGTTACTCACAGTTTGAGTGATGTGTACACGTAGGCCGCCATTTTGAAGTCTGTATGTTGCACTTGCGCAGAGCGTACATAGTTGTGGTGCATTACACTGCACTTCTACTTCAAACCGCCAGGCGTCACTAGTGCACTGATAAATTTGTGATTGGCATCTGCTACTAGTATGTTACCTTATTCATCACTGATGGGAGAGATGTGGGGGTTAACAGAGCAGAGTTCACTGTTGTAACGTTATACCGCGGAAAGCATCCACTGAGCTCGTGAGGGAATTGCAGTTCTCGCGACGAGGTAGAATAGCACTGGTTTAAAGTTAAAACTTTTGATCAGGCACAAGGGCTTGTTCTCAACTTTCGACCAGTCGGAAGCAGTATACGTAGGCGAGGACAATCTCTTGTGTCGGATCAAAAATCCAGATAAACTTTCATCGCAGTGGAATAATTTTCCCGGCGTAGTGTAGGCGTTGCCCACTCTCACGCCCCCATGATTCCCGTTAAAGTACCTGAAAGGACTTAGGCCGTTTGAGCATGAGCTCTGAATATGAAATTGAAAGCCTGGCAATTTTGACTTGTTTGTCTTCTCTCCTTATCTTCTAAAATCGTAGATAACCGTAAATTGTGAGTGGGTGTTTGTGTCATTATCCTCCGAAACTTCAATGGTTTAATTTGTCAGCTATAGCCTCTGCCAGGCTCCCTAGGTGGCTGGAAAACATTCATAATAGAGCCCCGATAGACTGGGTATCAGGCCATTGAAAAGATAGAAATTGGCCAAATCAGACTGAATAGTATGTCTGAGGAGTTAGCCTGGGTGCCAGACTGTTGCCATGGGCAGTATACCCACTCAGATAGACTATGTGAAGCTCGAGAGATAAATTAGAACCCCCAGGCCAGGTGTTACCTCTTGGATCGGCGCTTGTGGCTTACGCCAGCCGAAGAGAGTATTGTATCGAACCGGGGTCTGGCATCTAGGCTACGGATCGGAGGAGTTAGCTGGCTGGAGGGTACAATTTGCAACCTACTTACTGACCTCTGGCCAAACTGCCTTGTTGTTGATTGCTTTTTTTTGTTTGTTTGCCGATCAGACTTGACTGTGTTGCAAGTTTATGGAGTTAAATGCTGTTATAATCCTCCCAGGCACTGGTTATCTCATCCGCCCCTCACTTTTTCTTCGTTCAAGGGCGTTCAAGCTCCCATTTGGAAACGGTTTGGAATCACCGGATGGGAAGATACTTAACACTGAACACTTTTTGATCTTGTTTTAAGCTTCCAAAGGGCCAAGTGTACATTAGCTAAGTAGTCTATACTAAGTAGTCCAACAGTTAGGAACTTCAAGGAAAAAGATAAATGAGATACAACAGTCTCGAATAGGGTAGAGTAATCCTTGGGCAGAGGAAAGTTTGAAAAGGTTATGAAGTTTCAAAATGTTACATTGTCCCAGGAACACGAAACTTTTTTGGTTGATGTAGTCGTTTTGTATCGTCTGTTTTAAAACGTTCTTTAGCTTTACTTTTAATCTTACTCTACAAGTTGTACAGGTTTGCAGGCCCATTTCCGTTACAATGTTTGGCTGACATCCAGCATTATGCAAAAGAAGATCCGGAGATTTGAAATATCCTGCTGACTACGTGGGTTAAGAGTTTAATAGTTTTCCCAATAAACCGCCTAAAGATACTTTTAACGAAGCATAGTCTACAATTCAACCAAGGAGGGCAAACCTCTTTGCTTCAACTTAATCATATGCTTTCAGTTTAAAAGTTTGCGAACGAAAGCTCATCTGCGTTGGTTAAGTGAAAAGTTAAAACTTTGTTCCAAACACAAAGAAGAAGAACTCACCATGAATTTTTAGTTGAACTCGCCGAACTTTGTTGGTTGACTGAACTACTGCGCTGACGTAAGTTTTCGAATTCAAGAGCGTATCAAAGTGTTCGGAAAACAGAATCTTCTTAAAGTGTTTTGAATACCAAACACTTAAAGTAAACACCTTTGGCCTTGTACAATGTACCAGGAAACCATGCATAGGCAATTACATTTTGCCTGTCAGTCTTCACTCAGCAACAGCTATTTGATTAAGTGCTTTTGAAGGACGCCTCAAAATACGCAAGGCTTTATCAACCTTCGCCCTCCATAGTATATACAACTTGAAAGCATCTATTAGGCACTTGTTGCGGGGTCCTCGTCGGTGTGAGTGGCGTGCGTCAACCTTCCTTAGTAGACCAAAGTTCTCGATGTAATTGGCAATCTGCCAATCCATATGTAGAAGCCATGTGGTCTCTTACGTGACGCGGAATGACCCCGAATTAAACAAAAAGTTATGACTTATGGCTCCTACAAGGGGTCACGCAAGATCAGTGTATAATTTCCATTTTCCAGGAAGATTCCAGGAATATGTTGGACCTCATAAGCTTTCAGGGGTCAAAAGATACGTGCATATGTGCTGCGTGAGTTAAAATAGTCAACCGTAATGAAGTAGCGAGCGTTCATATTTGAAAGTTCCTTCATGTTATGCTGGAAAACATTACTGCAGTCATTGGAGTCACGCTCCTTAAACTTTGGTAGATCAGGTTAAAACTCTGCCGCCTTTTGATGGGTGAAGGCCAAGGGCGTGTGTCATGTCCTTGATAAAAATAAAAAGGTATAAAAGCAGTCATCCTCAATTGAGTTGCTGAAGCTTGACGCTTTTCAAGTAGCCAGTAGTGCAATGCGTGTTCGCTACGGCTCGCGTTTTCCTGGGTACAGAGGTTGACTGCATTAGCTATAGGTCAGCTACTCTTCTTGATATATAAGTGGTGGATTTTGCGTGCAGAAATTTGAAGTTAAGGCCATAATGATTTGATTAGCATGGATGACATCCTTTGGGAACCTCCAAACGTACGCGAGCGTGCGAATAAAAAAAGTTTGGCAAAAACAGTTGCCTTCATTATGAAATCTATGTGGTCATGAAGGTTGAACAAATGACTAAACACACAGAGTATGGTATGGAGAATAATAATAGACTCTTCATTTTCATTTATTCACAATTTTTTCCCTTGGAATTGGTTTTGACATTCTACGACATCAGTATCTTTTTGCAACATTTGTTTTTGCAATCCATGGCATATATTTATTTTGCGATTGCAGCTGCTTTGTACGATTTGAAGTAACTCTTTTTTTAAAGACCAAAATTCATGCTCGCAGATCTAGATGTCATCCATATAATCAAATCTCAACATGGCCTAACGCCTGAGACTCCAATACACGGTACCGCCGGCTTTACGACATTAGCAATTCAGCCTGAGTCTTGGGCACGTTTTACAGAGATTGCATAATTCCATCGAGTGGACTTGTACCATTCCTCTCAATCATGGCCAAGACTCTTGGTCTATGTAACGAGTTTGATCCAAGTGACGAAGAAGCGGTGCGTTTTCAGGCTCCTGGACATACAGCGTTATTTTTAGCGCGAATGATTGAACTAAGCATAGAAATACCTATAGCGAGGCATTCAGTTATGTAAGCACACTCCACTGGCATGCACTGTCGGCTGGGTAGCCCATTCAGTTGAGCTGCTTTTTAATGGATCCTGGTATACATTTATGCAGGACAAGACGAAACTATTCTATCTATAGGAAGCACGCGGCACTTTAATCGCACAGGTCATATTTATTAATGCTTAAGTGGATAACTTTCGGGACTAGGTCCAGGAAAGGTAGTATACTGAGTAGTTGGATCTAATCCTACTTGAGATTCAGGATGCAATAAAAGGCATTTTGTACAGTCTCTTGAGTTTGAATATGTGCCAATAACAACGCAGTCATTTGAACTTCATCGATTGTCTACAAGCAGCTTCACAAATTGGCGTTTTAAAAAGTAATGAAAGAGAGGAATTATCCATAGTCTGGTGCGCTTTGAGTATGCAGCCGCAATAAAAGTTATATCCTGGACGCCAGGCAGTTTCCAGGGACTACACAGGCCAGTTGCACGGCTCCAGGGCCAACATACCTGCAAAGAAATTATAACACAGCCCCCCTCAGTTAGGCCCTGGTCCAGGCTAACTCTGGGCCTAGCCTGTTATGGGTCTGGCATCCAAGCTACAAAATAGCAGGCAGGTTTAGTTAAAAAGAAATCATAGAACATTCCGTAAGCTACAGCACCTTACTGAATCACTGAACTATCATCATGAAATGCGCTCAAGACAACATGTTAAATCTTAGCTATCAAGGTTACATAAAACATCATGATATCATAGAAAGACAAAGTCTTCGTCAAATACATGACTCTCAAAATGTACTTAACATGGAACTAACTCTACTTCATACACACTACAAACTTTTCTTTCGTCAGGTTTCTTTCTTTCCTTCTTTCGTTTCTGGAAATAGCCAGTCTGGATAGGATATCAAGGAAATTAATGTTCTTTGCACCTACCGGGATAGAAATAAGAAATTACAGCTCATTTTAATCAATGAAATTTAAAGGGTAGACTATTTTTTTCATAACTGCGCAATTTTCGATTCATTCCAAATCTAAATGGAAATCTAAGTTCTTCACATACTGGAGGGAAATGTATCACCTATGGAAATGCTTTCAAAATGTCGCTATCAAATACTACATTTATCGAAATTTTGTAATAATCTTGAAGTGCACATTTGGTGATAGTCGTGCTTTTGGATCTGTATAGGCAACAGTCGTAGCCAGGTTTGGTCACTAAACCATTGCAGCATACATGTTAGCAACCATATACTATACATAGTATATCTATATAACTAATATCTTCATTAACATCATACTTAGTAATCAATGCTTGATTATCATCAGTTAACGAATCACCAGTAGAAATTCAATCCGTTTATATATGTAATAATCTAATATTCAACAACTAATCTTTTTACATGCAATCACTTTACAAATACGTTACAGATACACAGTTTATATAGTACTTTACCTAAAAACTACGTTGAGTTGATGGTGTTACACTGTGATCAATCTAAATGTTCACGCAAAAGATGCTATTTTTGCTTCTTTAATAACACCTATCCTAATTTTTTTCAAAAGAGTTATTCTTTAAGAAGCCTTCATTGTCCTTACACGAAGTACAACCAAGTCTTGGACAAACGTTCACGCGATTTTAACACTGCATAAAGAGTGGGATTTACCATCTTAACATGACAAATACAACGTTAGTCTGGTAATGGTTGCTTTAGGCTATAAACTGCGCCAGTATAGATTTCCTATGTGTATCAAGCGCTATACCGGTAAATCATACCTTTTGTAGAGCAAGCTTTTCATATCTAACTTTATGTGTTGGCTTAGTTATACGTCTGACGGATACGCCTGAAAATGTTTGCCTAAACAATAGTGCTACTCGTCAGGTAAGTCTGTTAACGGTTGCATGACTAAGCCTAAGGCATCAGACGCCAAAAGCAATCACTGCCGGAGTTACTTGGCTTTAATCGTCAATGGTAAATCTAACTTTTCATAAAGTGAAAAGGACAAGAAGTACTTCTGATGTACGAAAATGAAGCTCAAAGCAATCCTTGCAAACCGTTAAATGTAAAAAGGAAGAATTGATGAGTTCCGTTAGTTGATCATTCATCTATCCGACGCAATTTTTCTTCATGTTCACCATTCATCCAGTCTTCTGTTACTGGGAACACAAAAAACATAGGATTAAATATGTTTCGTTTGCTTGAAAAAGTCATTTAATGTACAGAGCTGAAAAAAATGCTAAGGATACTAAACCGTTATTGAGAGGTAAATGGACAATATTTCAATAATGTACATATTCAAAAACTCAAATGAAAGCTCAACTGTGTTACGTATAATCCATAGTAACTGTTGTAGAGCTTGTTCAAACACAAGAAGGAAACTCATGTTCATGTGTAAAGTGGGCACTACGCCTCCCACTGATACCTTAAGCGTTTACTCGTATCTGAAGTACTGACTCAGTAAAATGACACCAAAGACTATTGAATAAAGATAAGGCAAACCTTTTTTGGAAAGCTCGCTGTCGACTCGCTCTTTGTTCACAGCGCACGGATTCAGCTCAACGTCCACGACCATTTCCTTCGCGGCAATGGGAGCGGGTGCGAGGCGATCGTTGGGCGAGGCGTCGATGTTCTTGAGGTCCTTGGCGCTCTCGTTGCTCTTTCTGAAGCCGAAGCCAGGGTGGCTGATCTTGGTGCTCTGGCTGCTGCTGCTGCTGTTGGTACGGGATACGATCTGCTTCAGGCAGTTGCGGAAGTTCTCGCCGATGAGCGTGTAGATGAACGGGTTCAGGGCGCAGTTGCAGTAGATTAGGAACAGTGCCACGATCTGAAACGGCCCAGAACTCAACTTAGACCACACTGACTTAATTGTATGGATTACATCCTCTGAAGACCCCAAAACTAGTGAGTGCGGGCAAATAAAAAAAATCCAGCCAAAAAAATGCGGTAGTACATAGAGACTTTTACTTGGAAGGGCAATAAACCAGTGTAAAAGTAACAGTCAAGTAAGTAGTACATGTTCCGAGCTGACGTACCTTGCCGTAGTACAGGGCCGGGGGGAACTTGTTCTTGATGTGGATGTAGCGCCACATGTTGATGACGTGATTCGGCAGCCAGCAAACCAGGAACACGATCACTACGCCCACCACCATCCGGGTGATGCGTCTGGTCTGGAAACGTTGGCAGCTCATGTTAAAAATGGTTCACCTGGCGTTTGCCAAGAGTATTGCAGCGGACTTTTTTTATGCATTTGTGGTTCGAATGTGTACAGCATAACTCGTGAAGTTGTGAATTTATCTTAAGGATATTTGGTAGGTGGGTGGCCGTTGTGAAAAGGAAGGTCAAGTTCGAAAATGGTTCACCTGACACGCAATAGCCACTGGAGCTTAGGATTGGCAGACTTCATGATACTTATAGTTCAACCGGGCAGAATAGTTACCTGAACTTCGTGGTGCTGAGGCCGGCTCTCGGACCTACGGAAGCGGCTGTGGAGGCGTTTCACCACCAGCGAGCAGGTGACCGAGCAGATGATGAGGGGCAGCACGTAGGTGAAGGTGATGGTGAAGATCATGTAGCCGTCCTCCCACGCCTTGCTGGGCCACACCGGGCGGCAGTACGTCCGCCAGCCGTACCAGTTGAACCGGGTCAGCTCGTGAAAGATGCAGACAGGCAGGGCGGCCAGGAAGGACACTGGGCAATCAACATAAGATTTAATGAGTCAAAGTGATACGTATATAATATACATTTCCATAGCTCGCTAAATTATGATGTGTTGCAGTTTTGCTTCTGTCAAGCACAAATACTGAGCTTATGATACGAATTCTATAGCTAATAATCAACTATTACTGCTCGAATCACTTTTACTACTTCTTCAACTACTACTACTACTACTACTACTACTACTACTGTTGCTGCTGCTGCTGCTGCTGCTACTACTACTACTATTGTTTAGCTTTAAGTTTGTTGTTATAGTATTGTCTATGGGACTCAAATCGAGCTCACTTTTCTATGGAAAGTATTATCTACTGCAGTATAGTTTCCAAGGAATGTATTCAAGAATATCCAGCTCCCATTCGAACGAATCAACTTGACAATACTCAATGCAATAGACTGAGTTTTAAAGCGAGAAATACTCTTTAGTTTAATTTTACAATGGCAAGCACAACAGATACTTGAATACAGAGGAGATGTCTTCGATGCGGGACTCATACTAAATGCTAGCGGAAATGAACATCAAAGGAACACTTACGACAAACAATCGTTCAGGCACTTTGGATTACCGCCAGAGTTGAGTAAACCCCATTTAATGTACATACAAAGTATTCTTCAGAAGTAGCACCAGATACAGATCAGACCAGCGGTGGAAGGCAGTAAATGTTTCATAATACACGGTAGTTTACAGGGAGGAAACGATGACTTGTTCGATAAAATGTCTGCAAAATGTTATACGCTTTAGGAGGCCTAGAGTTTCATGTGGAAATATCTTACTGTAAAGACGGCAAATTCCATCTAAGTGTCCACATACCCTCAAACATAAGGCCACATTGATTTAATTTTATGGACATCTGCGCGTGCATTGATTTTTGCCTGTTCTAAAAAATCACCTCCAAGGAGGCTCTGGCCTGGGGGCCATCCTCTGTAGTCCATGGTAGCTAGCGTCAGTAGGGAGCCGGCGGTAACTACGGAGGACGACACCTAGGTTTCCGACGCTCCATGAAACTCCAGAGCTCAGTACAGTGCCGACTCATAAATGCCGCAAAAGACCAGCATGTGCCTGCTTGTCGTAAAAGTCGCCATGCACCACCGCAATACCAGCTTTATATTCATGTGGTCTCGCAGCATTTTTTGGGTGGGAATCTTTTTTATGGCGCCAGCGCGCACTAGATGGAGGTCTTCCAAAAACTATGTCAGTGTGGCCTAACTGCAATCAAGGAGGTTTAAGTCCTTGCTGCAATAAAAGAGGAATGGAGGAAAGAAGGATGGCAGTTTACCAAGACTAGACATCATAACGGTAACAAGCACATGTTTTATGTTTCAACTGGTTGGGACACTACTCCACACTAATACTCAGTTTATCAGGCTAAGCTTGGGTTTAGTCTCCACATCAAGTCCCCCCCCCCTCCTGCTTACTGTCTCCGGTATATTGGAAATTATGGAGATATTTGGCCTCCCACTAGGCTGGCGATTCCACAAGAATCCAAATTACTTATAAGTTTTAACCCTACAAACTGTTTAAGATGCTTGAATAGTTCTTTTTATTCATAACACTTTTTGACCGACTGTCATCTTGATAAGGACGAAAATGACCAGGTATACTGTCACTGGAGATAGAAGTTACTGTAACAGTGCAGCAAAAAAGGAAATAGAAAAATATTTTACCATATTGCCCTTTATTCTGTGTCCCCTAAGCTCTTTCTTGTTAGTAGTTTTAATTCTTGTTGTGCAGTAAAAAGCGATGACTAACTGTGAGGTCGTGTGACGTAACGACAGAGGTCCCGAGTTCGAATCCAGCCATGCCACCGATCTTGTGCCCTTGGAAAATGCACTTTACACGAATTTCCCCATGGGCCCACTTTACTCAAGTAAAAATGAGTATCTCTGATGTCGGTGCGTTTGTCTGCGTTGGTGGCGGCATAAGAATAAGTTGAAACAACTTGAGTGTGCCGTCGCCATGTCTTGTAATAAATGTTGATATAGAAAAAAAGTTACCTTTCTACATCTCCAGGACTACTGTGAATTAGGGAGCGACCGTGTGCCTAACCCTGAATGTAACACTGAGAGTTGTTGGAAACTTCTCTAATGGATATCTTCAGCCACCCACACAACCACTTCAACATACAACCACTTCAACAACCTTCGTTTTGCATGTAGCTAGTTAGTAGAAGGTCGTATGGAAACAGCAAAAGTTACTTTCAAAAGCCTCCATCGAAATCCGGAGGGCTTTGAGCCAGATTGACCTCTTCACCTTGCTGTGCTATATAGCGTATGTTATAACCATGTGGATGGTGTATTGCTGATACCATTAGTCAAGGTCCGGAACCGAAATATTCTGTGACCATGAACATATCGTATCATTAGACGCTATATGTACTTCAAGGTCAGTAGGTTAACAGGCTTGAAGCGTCATGGGTAACCTTACCTGACCCTAGCGTACCTCATCTGGGCGCAGGTTTTTTCTGATAACCTTGATTTTTGACATCAGATCATGTTAGTATTTGTTCAAATGGATGGCTTCCGTGCGCGCAAGAATTTTTTGAAAATCTGTAATATACTGTAAATCGTACAAAGCAGCATAAATGAGAAAATACATGCCGTAGACAATATTGGAACACGATTTCATAATGAACTTATTTGCCGAACTTATTTCCCAGAGGATGTCATCCATATAATCAAATCAACATGGCCTTATTACGTGTGAAAACTGAAATTACCTAGTCTAGCCCTTACTCAACCGTCTCTAAGTGTGATGTTCTAGATAGTTATCATCGGTTGTGTAAAACTGTTTACATAGCTCCATATATACAGATAAGCCCAACACACAAAAGATCCCACAAGTACTAAAGCGCTGTTAGTCAGGCCTTCGACCGTTACGTCCGGAAGCAATGGCCCTTCCGTACAAATCTAAGGCCGTTTGGCAGGGAGAGGCCGTTTGTTCCGGCCGTTGCAAGGCCATCTTAACTACCATCAACATTTTTCATTCGCACGCTCGCATCAGTTTTGGGGTTACCAGAGCATGCTATCTCTATAATCAAATCAACATGGCCTAAACTTGTTTCCTTACATGAGGGAAAACCGCATGACGGTTTGTAATAACGTACCCAGCCATGTGATGGCGTTCACGATGACAGCCACTCTCTTGCGCCGGAAGCGTAGTGAGCGGAGCGGGTAGACGATAGCGCAGAACCGGTCAACACTCATGATGCACAGCGTGATACATGTCGCTTGTGTTGTTACCTAAACACAAACAAACAAACAAACAATGAAAATCCTGTCACACATAACCAAATATGGCCTCCCGATCACACGATGATAGGAGTAGGTCGGGAGCAAGGTCGGCTGTGGTTGGCTGGTGTTCGGCTGCGCTAGCCGCCGAATATTTTAAAATGTCAATAACATTCGGGTTTGGACGGGAGGTTATGCCATGTTTGGGGACTGGTTGCCCGGTGGTTGAAAGTGGGTCAGCATTGATGGGAGCGTGGTTGGGAGTCAAATTTGACTCAAATTGAACTCAAATTTGATTTGATTCAATTCAACAATTCAACTTCCCCGGCTATCCTTGGTGTAGACACATAGATGCATGCGTCTGGACCTGATAAAATCTTTTATGTGGACTCGTAAGTGGCTTTAACGACCAGAGTGGGGCGTTGATATGTTTGCATAAACCGATTGCAGGGGAATTGACAGCTTTTCCTTCCTTTGTACTACTACCATGATGCTCACTAACAAGACCCGACAATGCGTCGCTGCAGTGGAACTTTCCTAAGCTGTAGGCATGGTGGTGGCCGCAAGCTTTCTGCCTTATCGTAAGTTGTGTCTAATGTCTGCCTGTGAAATAGATCTCGGGAAACATACATGCAGTTTTCTTTGGAGGTTCTTTGTACTATCGCCAAGGTACCGGATTCTGCTCATCAACAAGACTCGGCAATGTTAATGTTGCTGCAGTGGAACTTTTCTAAACTACACACATGCTGAGTTTGGCAGTTCACTCACTCACTGTGTGGAGCTCGCTCCAAATCTTCTCATGACAATCTCATGACAATTGCTCTCTGTCATCCATCGCTGCAAGCAATTGGTTTAGGTTTATTCCACTTTCAGCTTCTAGTTATTGTATGTATATGAAGTGTGGTCTTCCGCGTATTGTTTCCATGACTCGGTAACGTTTGTTACCAATTACATATCAGTCAGCCAGTCCAACATAACCTAACACACAGTTGGGCAGAAGTCAGCACGACTTTATCAAATTGGTCTCTAAACAGTCTTTGATTAGTTTTGTGGGACGATGCATCCGATAAATAAGGCCATGTTGACTTGATTATATATATATATATATATATATATATATATATATACATATGGATGGCATCCAACAATGTTCCTGCGGGTATATGTGTCAGCCAACATAAACTACCACGCAGTTGGCCAGAGGCCAGCACGACTAAGGGTCTGATCTTCACTAAGGGGCTGAGACGTTGGTACATGTTAGTTGGATGCCAAGTGGGTTTCTGGCACATTCTTCTCTGAGATGGGACCAGCCAAACAGGCGATATGAGCTCAGCAGGTCGCTACCAACAACTTCCTAACTCAACTTTCTAACTCAACTTTCTAACTCAACTTTCTAACTCAACTTTCTAACTCAACTTTCTAACTCAACTTTCTAACTCAACTTTCTAACTCAACTTTCTAACTCAACTTTCTAACTCAACTTTCTAACTCAACTTTCTAACTCAACTTTCTAACTCAACTTTCTTTCATGGTGTCCTTGTGGGCACCCTGGCAGTAGGGCATGCAGGACTAGGCAGCTGCCCAAAGCTTCAGTAGGACAAGGCCAGTAGAAGGGAGAGGCGTCAACTGGTCCAGGATGAGAGATAAGCTGAGGAAGAGGAGACTCGTCACTGCAGGATGGTAAGCAAGGTGCATGGACCAGATGGAATCAGACAAATCTACGTGGTCGCGAAGGTTGAGCAAACGGCTAAATACAGAGTATGGTATGGCGAATAATAAACTCTTAATTTTCATTTCGTCACATTCTCTTCCTTTCCTTTGGAATTGATTTTGGCATTCTACGACATTTGCGTCGTTTCCCAACTTCAATTCATGGCATACATTTGCTAATTTTGCAGCTGCTTTGTACGATTTACAGCTAGTATGGTCGAAAACTCGCGCACGGATGTCATCCAATATAATCAAATCAACATGGCATAATTGGTGATGATCGTCGTCTTGAAATATTAATCAAAGGAATCCTCATGACAGCTCTTCGAGTAGTTGTGTAATATCTCATGTTCCGATAATTTCTGTCTAATCGAATGGGTATCCGTTTGCGCTGTGGCTGTGCAAATCATATCTGAAATTTACATTCCAGCTACAACTGCTCAATGATCAACAGTCAAGCAACGTCTGCCTTGGAGACAAGTACATACTTCTCAGTTGGAAATAGTGTGCTGAGTAAGGTGACCTTTGCGACGATAAAATCAACATTTCTGAAGAGGTGTAATAATAGTATTTGTCATAGTGACTCTTAGCTTTTCCTTTACCTTATTTGGCCATCGTCATGATTGTTGTTTTTTACCTTTAAGGCATCCAATGCAATTTCAGGTCGATAAAACTGGATTTTTAAAATCAATTTTCTGGTTACTGATACTTTCTGGTTAACCCAGAGCTTATTGATGTCTATGAGGCAAAAGTGATGCCGCTTGTTTTGTATCGCAGGCTGGTTCCAGCTATAGTATCAGTATGAAATGATAACGAAAATGTGTTAAGAAATAGCAGTAAATGGCAATATATAAGACAGATTTCTCATCAGTAACATTTGTTTTGCCGCACTGAAATTGCATTCGGTATCTTCAAGTATCTATGTATTGCATTCTGACAAGGTACCAAAGTCATCTGAAATATAGAAAGTAAAAAAAAAATCCTACGGTAATGTTCTTCTTGAACAGAGCGGAATATAGATCGACATCAGTGACGTAACGGCGTATTTCAACATAGCGTGCCCAGCACAATGTAATTAAAACACATCCACATCAAATCAGTGAGCCATATAGTCTCCCTGGGCAAAGTTAGCTATAGAATACTAGACGCTGAATTGGTGAACAGGACTACTTCATACTTAACCCAGTCACGCTAGGTGAAAACCTTTTCAAAGGAAGAAACAGGAAGTCCGGTACATCAAAGTAGATTACCAAGATAAGGATAAAAGCAAAGACAAAAAAAATGACTTGAAGTGAATTAAGGTGGAGATCAATAAGGCACATTTTCATCCAACTTTTCAACGGCTGCTCCTCCAAGGCAATCATACACTGTTACACAGATTAAAGCGCTGTTGCGATATTCACTCTACACCCGTCACGCAACCTCGCTTGAATTGAAATGAAGAGTAGAATACGGTAATGTGCAGCTTTGCAAATGGTGGAGTGGTAACACGTAAAGAGCACTCAGCTGCAGGTCGCGAAACTTTCGTTACAGGTCAAGTACAGCAAGTTTATAGATGTCATCAGCGTGCGCATTGATTTTCGCCTGATTTTGACCAAAAAAAAAGAAGAAATTTTGTTACCCTCCGACGGTGGCCAACAAGCTCCGAAAATGGGCAAATATTTCGTAAATTTCTATCAGCTCAGAGATTCAGGGATCTAATAAACTTGATCAGGCACAGTTGCTCGCGTTTCATGGTAAGTGCTGATAACTTCGTTCCATCGCAAATGAGTTTAGTAGCTGCCAATGATGGTCGATAAGCCGTTTGCTACAACTTAATTCACATTAATTGTTGTTATTAATTGAGGTATATACACATCAACAAGGACAGATAATACTGTTGAATACAATAATAAAAGACCTGTTTGTTGTGATATCATATTTTGTCGACTGATTTCTTTAACAAGGCTTACGAGTATGGCCTCAAAATTTTATTTTTCACCGCACGTTTTTTTGCCCTATCGCATTAAATTTGGAGTCTGAGAAGGATGTCATCCATAAAATGTACTTGCTTTATTATTACGTGTAAAGCAAAATACAAATGTAGTATACAGATTAAAATGCGTCAACACGTGTCAACAAATGATTATAATTCATAAAATGCTGTTAGGTTTTTTAAATATTCACTTTAGGTCTTCATATCCCCACAGCTCTCCGAGAAGTTCCATCTCCGCATAAGTGTTCACAATAGTCCCTTAGAGTTCTGTAATTGAGTTCTAATCTGCCCAAGAGTCGAATCACGTCCCCTGTAGGATATAGGATCGGCGAACCTCCCAACGCATCCAAACTAATAATCATCAAACTATCACCTCCGGGACGGCTGTCATTTAAGGCATCCAATGGAATTTCCGGCCGGCAAAACAAACAAAAAATAATCTGGATGAGGAAACCTGTATATTGACCTTTACTGCCATTGTTAAGCAAATTTTTGTATTTTTGTCTTTATTTTATATTTGAAGTGTTTGAAATAGCCCCGCCTTTAAATACATGTACCTAGAACTAACCTACGACAAAAGAAGCAATTTTTGTTTTCCGTCAATGACATCACATTTTTGCCTTACAGAGAGCATAGGGTTGATTGTATACTGTATCATTAAAAGAATGACCAGAAATCGACTTAAAATTCCAGTTTCGCCGCCTTGAAATTGCATTGGAATCCTTTAAGTGTCGCGATAAAAGACACCAGGAGTACATCGCTCTGGCGCTGTATCCGAGACTGTTTTGTCTTCAACAGCAGATGAAACAATGCCGTCATGTGAATGTGAATTTCACAGAGGCAAAGTCGTTGAAAGACCGTTGAGTTCGAGCGTTCAAATCGATCGGTCTTTTAAGGACGCGCTCAGCCACCTCTAACGTCTTCCAATGATCTTTCAATGATCATGATAATCTCTCATAATAAATGATCTTTTAACTGATGTATTAACAGTAACAATGATATCGTCGCCATAATGCATATTTGGTCATCGTTACCTATGCTTAATGTCTACTGCATGTGAATTTTGATGTCTTAACCAGTAGTTACATGGTTTTCAATCCATAATTTTGTGTAGATCTTGGCACATTGGTGACACTAAATCCGTCTGTGTCCTCATCAGTGTTTGGACACGTATGGACAGTTAGCCAAAATGCCCGGTGCACGTGGGCGTCACTCCACTATAGAGTGATGAAAGTCGTGTAAAGTGCCTTTCCAAAGGGCACAACATATGGCATCTCAGGGACTTCTTGGTTCCGAGCCAAACGCTCTGACCATTACGATGCCACTTATCGCTTGCAACATTAGCCAGAAACTACTCTACTGCTTACCTGCATGAGGTAATTGATCAACTTGCAGAGCACCCTGCCGAAGATCCAGGAAGGCAGGGCGTAGTTTGCCGCGGAGAAGGGCACGCAGCACAGCAGGAACGACAGGTCAGTGATGGCCAGGTTGACGATGTAGTAGTTAGTGACTGTCCGCATCTCGCTGAAGCGAGCCACCACATAAATGACCAGTGCGTTGCCGGCGGCCCCCACGATGAGCGGGATGGAAAACAGCACAGGCGCCACGTACGCGTCCATGGTCATCTTCAGAGTGTCTTCAGGCCCTCCTTGGCTGCTCTGTTGATCTGCCATACTTGAAATATTCCCTAGTAGCTATTCCCCCTTTCTCTGCAATGGCTACGAAGTCGACTGACTACCAGAGCGTGTAGCCCCGCACTAGACCATGAACATACAAGAGTGGTTGCTTTTATTACAGAATTGGTTAATATATGTGTGACGTCACATCTTTACATGTGTTGAAGAGATTGCTTGGCGAAAACGCCTTTCGGATTGTACCGTTACTGTACTGATCCCGCAAGTCTACTTTAAAGGCCACGTGCTCATCAAGTTCTCCTACAGCTTAAGGGTGTCGTGTAGAAATGAGCGAACGTTGCTACGATTGGCAGTGGCGGAAAATGCATTGACGGGTGCAAACGATGCCGTTTCGGGTTACGCATGGACCCGTGACCGAATTGACATCTGACTGCAACTCTGATGGCAAAAGATTGACGGCGGCATCAAATATTTCCACTCGGATAACAAGAAATATGCGAATAAATGCCGTACAGATCCTTGAGGTCACTTATAAGATTAGAAAGCATGTACGTGTATAAAATCGATCTAAGTATTCTGAATTTCAATGATCAGCAAATGGCGCCTTCGTCTATAGTCCATGAAGCGATCACAGAGTTTATTCAAGTCAGGACAAACAGAATTTCCCAAGCATGCAGGTCAATGGCCTTCTGATGCAAATAAAACTAACATGATTCGCAAGATAGTAAAGACTTGCTTTGTTTGCAAACAAACAAACAAACAAACAAACAACCAGCAAACAAACAAACAAACAAAAAGATGATGAATGTATGCGAGTGAAATATCAAGAAGTATATTCTAGGCCTATTATTTCGATTCTAGATAATTAATTCTTTCTTTATAAACGATACATGTTTCACTTTTGATTACACAAAACTTCCTCATTGGACACGACAGAACAGTAGCTTTTCTGTCCTGATGTAGGACAGCGTTTTGCTTCCTTAAACATCTACGTGTACGTAGGTATAGCTACTGACACGAAGGGTTTGAAACGTCTAAAACACCATAATACCATTTTACTTGGCCATATCAATTTGATTGATGGATGTAAATGTGTATCATAATATACCTTTACTTGTTTGTCAATTTTGATGCTAGGGACATAACATCTAGCAATAAAACCATTACCAGGGGTTCTCTTTCCTAGATCGCTAAACTGTGACGAACAGTTTTATACCGCTCGTTTTCACCGGAATACACTGCTGTTTAGTTGTCTTTTCTAACTTGATGGAACTGCATCTGACTGTAACTGCGAAGTTATTATGGACCATGTCTGAACAATGAAGGATACTCGGATTCAGCAAAGCTATTATAATGGGATGGAAACGTGTTTGGAGAAAGAGAAAAAATGCACGGTTGACACAATGTCGACACCAAATCTGTCTGTATCCTTGATCATCAGTGTTTGGACAAAGTATGAAGGACCTTTTGGTTCCGTGGTCCCAGGTTCGATCCCTTAATATGCCCGGACAAAGACAAGGATATACATGTGATATACAGGATAACATTACGTTCGGCATGAGTAGCAACAGAAACTGGAACTAAAATCTGTTTTGCTGTTTTGGTGTTTATACTACCTTGGCTAACTTGACTTTGTACAGTTTGGCTAACTTGACTTTGTACAAGTCACGGCATTTTTCCAAGAATTAGTTGCTGTCTAGTCCGCACTATCCACCACCAAGCCTTTGGATTTATGGTTCAAAACCTACTATAACTACAACGATTTACTAAGGCTATCCTCTCAAAGAATTGCTGACTATCAGCATGCGCCTAGTCTTTGAATTTATGGATCACAACGACGTCATTCTATTAATTGATAGGTTACCCTCTCAAAGCATGTCTGAATCATACTTAAGAACGGCTTTGAAGTCTCAACTAGACTATACTTTAACTTTCCAAATCAAGCTACCATTTACGACTATTTACTAAGGCTATCCTATCAAAGCATGTCTGATAACCATACTTAAGTGTGGCTAGTCCGCGCATCAAAATGCACCAAGCCTTTGAATTTATGGATCATAACCCATTAACTACGACATTTTACTAATAAATAGAAGGTATCCTCTCAAAGCATGTCTGATAATCATACTTTAGAGTAGCTTTGAAGTCTCAATTGAACTAAACTTTAACTTCACAAAGCAATAAGCACCCTTATCGGAGTCAAAAGGCAGTACAAATGACTTTCGAAATAAGCAGCACCTTACAGTTTACTTCATTAAAATCTGCTCAGGTCAAACCTAAACGTAAAATACAGTGCTCTGCGTGACGTCCGTATCCAGGTACTTGTTACGTGATGTACGCGATCAGAATATAAACAACATACGCGAGAAAAATAATGGAGATATCAACAGAGAACAGACTCCTAGCAGGGCCGGAGTTCCCATTGCGAGATGAGACCTGACCATGACTTATGTTGATTGGCATTTATAACAAAGTCCAACTTGGCCTATCAATTCTTCCATACCACATGCTCTTCTGCGGTTGTCCTTGAAAGTAACAAGATCTCATCATTCATGATGATTCCTACCTAATTCTGTTCATCTACATTGTGAATATATGCAGCCATAACATGCGTTGAAAATGTATCATTCATTCAGAAGTCTTTTCAATTACATGATATATGTGTATGTACTTAAGAAAGCCCTTTACACCCGTGAAAACACGACAGAATGAGTATATACTTAAACTGAGAAGGCGATTTGGCTGTCACAATAAATTATTTCTGCCGTGTCATTGCTGTTTGTTACTTTCCCGAAGTAAAGCTAACATTATGGTCGTTACAAATCCTCATTGATTGTACCTGTCATGCGTGATCAAGGTGTATTTTGTTTGAGGCTTTCTGTAGTTGACAGCGTCATAATTTTCCAGTATCATGTCGCCTGTATATAGGTTTCAAGGTCTCTCTCATTAGTTGTGCATGAGTTGAGCCAGTGATGAACATGGCAATTGCGACGTCTATTTATGAAAGCAGTAGGGAGCGGTATGACAACCGTTACTTCTGACCAGTAATTGTCTTTTTTTTTGTTTAGATATTCAAACATAATGAAACCATATACTGGTCCATCATTACTCATCTCAGATTGTCAAAGCATGATGAATTCTGACAGCAAGACGATGCAAGATATGTGGGTGCAATACATGGATCTTCTGTATCACACGCACAACGTTAAAATAAACTAACATTAAGGTGTTCCATAAGCTCCTGTGACTAAACGGGTAAAGCAAAGCGTTTGCAGGCACAGCCTGAATATTTTAACTAAACATATATCTTAACTCTAAGGATTGGATCTATCTAAATGATATCTTTGTACTCTCAGTCAGGTGGAAGGAGCTTATAAATGTGTTTTTAAGCTCCTTGGTAGATGTCGACTACCTAACCAGGGCTATAGCTAGATCTACTGATGAGAGAGCTCATTTAAAAACCTCTTTATCAGTGTTAGATGTGTTTTGGCCCAGGGTTAGATGTATTCTCGGGTATTGCTATACGGAGTGTGACACTAAACGTCCTAACATAGTTTCACAACATCGTGACACTAAGAGCTGAATACCTGGAGCAGCAACCCACGTTTTGACATCATCATGGCTTTGTTCACACGTTGAGCGCTTAGCTCTTTGCACTAAGAATGCTGTTTTGCATGAACATATAGGAAATCCAAGGAAAAACTTTTCTCGAAGTCCAAGCAAACTATGTTGACATCAGTTACTCACGACTTACCCATACTTAGATTACCGGCCATGTAGACGAATCACGCGAAGTTACGAGCTACAATATCTAAGTTAAAGCTTACCCTGATTCGGGCAACCTTTTGCCTTGAATGTTGATGGTAGTTAAGGTGGCCTTGCAACGGCCAGAACAAACGGCCTCTCCCTGCGCAGGTTCATGCCAAACGGCCTTAGATTTGTACGGAAGGGCCATTGCTTCCGGACGTAACGGTCGAAGGCCAGACAAACATCGCATTAGTACTTGTGGGTTCTTTGGTGTGTTTGGCTTATCAGTATATATGGAGCTATGTAAACAGTTTTACACAACCGATGATAACTATCTAGAACATCACACTTAGAGACGGTTGAGTAAGGGCTACACTAGGTAATTTCAATTTTAACATTAAGGCAAGGCCATGTTGATTTGATTATATGGATGACATCCTGGGAACCACAAAACTGATGCGAGCGTGCGAACAAAAAGGTTTGGCAAAAAAGTTGCTTTCATGATGAGATCTACATGGTCATGGAGGTTGAACAAATGACTAAACACACACAGAGTATTGTATGGCAAATAATAGACTCTTCATTTTCATTTCTTCACATTTTGTTCTTTTCCTTTGGAATTGATTTTGGCATTCTGCGACATTAGTATCGTTTTCCAACAGCAATTTGCGGCATATATTTGTTCATTTTGCAGCTGTTTTGTACGATTAACAGTACACGTATGGCTGATCTTATTTTTTGGAAATGGACGAAAGTTCATGCGCGCACGGATGTCATCCATATAATCAAATCAACATGGCCTAACGGCTAGACTAGATACTGTAATGTCAGTTTTGACATTAAGACCAGGGGAGTATTCTAATGGCATGAATGACGCACTATCTCACGGACACCTGGTCCAACTGATGCTTTGAAAGTGGATAAGCAAATACCTACTCTTCCCGGCTGTGTGCAGGTCATTGCGTTTTTACAGACAGTGTCAGTGTTATAATGTGAATTTTCACCCGGGAGTACCTAGGTGCACGTCTGCCTTTTACAAAGCTGTCTGTATTGCCAGAATGTTAGCCCACACCAAAAGGCAATTGTACCTCCTCAAAATAAGCATATCTACATCTTCACAAAATAGTACTTTTATCTACTGTGCAGAAAATTGGTAGATTATTAAATTTGTTCATGTTCAAATTCAGGCTCGAAGGCTTTGAATTGCAAACTGACCAGGAGAATTGGTACAGAATGTATTGAAGAATGGTATAAAACCATGTGCTAATATGGGGGCTTAAAGGCATCTTTATTTTATGCAATGCGACTGATATACAGTACAGCCCAGGACAGCCCTTTATCTCTTGAACTTACAGTATTATTAAGAGGGGGTCGCAAGGCAGATGAAAGTTCTACTTCTACTGATATATCTTACTTACTATCTCTACGTAAAACTAATAAACGTATGTATAGGATGTAATATGTATACTGGTAAGAGAGACATGCACCTACATTACCATTTCCATTTCTAGTTATTAAGCTTCTGCGGGCTTCGACATCTTCTTTGGCAGTGGCAGTTCGATAATGTCCTTGGATGAACCAATCCACGGAACCTGAACGGAAAGTGCAAGAGCCACACTTATAATAATCATCGGTTGGCTGCTACGGAGCAATTTCAAGGTCATAGATCTGTTTCTAGGCCCTTCTTTCGAAGCATCTGAAGCGTAGACGGCCAGAGTACTTACCCGGCTCGACCCATCAGCTTACAATGATATACTGAACTGAATTATTGCCTCGGTCACATACATGAAGGGTATGGTATGATTTTAGATGCCGTTGAATTTTCAAGCAGACACTATATGACAACCTCGGCCCTTTGTCAAAGGATCTGAAGCGTAGACATTTTTAGGTTGCAATGATACACTGAACTAAATTATTGGCTCGGTCACATTCAACGACGTGTTTCGTATGGTTCTTGATGCCGTAGAATTTTCAAGTAGACTGTGACAAAAACAAACCCCGCACAAGGATATGTCATGATCAGGCATCCGCGAAGAAACGTGGGGAATTCTACACTTCTACGCAAGCTCAGTCTCTACTCCTACCGCTACCCTACCCTACGCCCACGTGTCACTTTTTTCCATGTTTCAAATCCTTCACAGCCACCTTGTACACGGTATGAAAGGATAACCAGTAAAAATTGATCTATTTATTCTCGACTCCTTATGCCCAAACAGATACCCCGGTGGTAAAATCGTGGACGCCAAACAGATCTTAGCCGGCAGTTACTATTTTGCTGCGGTAGAAACTGCTCCATACCTGTGATCATAAATGTGTACGGATCGTTTCAACTCCCTTATTTCTCTACATTTCGTCCCTCTAATAACATATCACTAGCACAAGGCACGGTCTTAAAGTCCTTCTATTGCCCACAAATATGCCTTTTTCTTGGAAAGTAGGAAGAAAAACGACTGTGCGGCACCCTAGGACCTTTCCTTCAGGTATTTAAGTAGCTGTCTTAAAAACTAAGGAAGGGGAGGATATGCCATTTATTGCTAGGCTTAATGATTAGTTCTAGTCAGCACTGTGCGTCACCCTGTAAAATTGTGCACCAACTACGGTACTTAAATTTACCAGACGCCCGTTAACAGAAACGTCTCGCAAAGATAATTAGGGACCTTCCCTTTATCATATCGTCCGTAAGTATACTCGGTGAAGCTCTTCTTGTATTCGAACTTGACATTACACAGTGTAGGACATGAACCTATATGCACTTTACTTCAGCTACAGTTAGGGTGGAATATCGTCACGATATGCTGCGCATTAAAAGTTAGTTCAGGTTGAACTTTCTGAACTACCGGGTCTCACCAAGTCTCTTCTTGATTCTTCTTTACGTCTGTGGGGTAAAAGCATACTGTAAATTGGTCAATAATGTTCGAGCTAGGTAGCAAAAGTTCGCAATCTAAGAAAAATGGTGGACATGTTCGCGGAACTATTCTTTGGCAGTGGCGGCAAGTGCCGTTTCGGCAGCGTCAGGGTTCCCTAAATAGATCTGTTGAATAGAAAGTTTGAAAAATTTCCTATCCGAATTACCCTGTTGACAGACGCATCAGACTATACCTACAGGCTTTACATGTCATTCGCACGGTGTTGCTTTACTGTGTACTACATTGTCGTAGTAGTACTGTTCCAGAAAAGTGCGTTTGAAATAAAACAACTTAATATTATCGTTACTGTTTCACTGTTTACTTCATTTAATTCTTTTGGTGGTCTCCACCAAGTCTTGTTTATTATTCTTTACCTTCTGTTGTTTTAAATTGGACTGGGATACGCAAAGCCAATCTCCTTCCGTTTGTCCATTTATGTTTATCTTACTGTAATAAAGCTGAAATACATTTTGTAAATATAACTCCCCTCGACAAATGTGTTTGCTGGGTGCTAGTCTTTATTCCCCAGGACAGAAAGTACATTGTACATGGAGTCTATAGAGAGTTAGCATGCTGGTTCACTACTCAGCTTATGCTAAGCAGAATGACAATGACTCAGATACTAGACCACTAAACCCTGAAAACTTGTTGTCATCAACTACATCACAATGTTGTTCTGTTACGCCAGATTTCATAATGTCAAAGAATGAGACTTTGAAGAACTGTAATTCTAAATCCTGGGCATCACAATACAATAGTTTAGTAACAGGCTGTTGTTTTTTTATTATTATTCTACCAAGAAATGTTGAACATTTATCCTGTAATCAGCTTGAATGTCTGAGCTAGTAAATAGGGTACGAAAACATTGTTATCTATTTCTTCTCTTCTTTGTACTTGTAGTGAAGCTCCATGACATCTGTCTGGGATACCTTGATCCAGCCTGTCTCCTTCATATGGTACACTAGGGAACAAGGTAAGAAATATTATTAGGAGTTACAAGTATGCACTTGGTAACTTCATGTATAAGTTACACAAGGGAATGAAGTGTTAAAGCCATAACCATGCCAACACAACCATTTTCTGACTCCAGACTACTTAAAAAGAATAAAAAGAATTAAAAAAAAGAATTATATTTACAAGAAAAAAGATAATCTACCTACCAACCCTAATTTTTTCAGGTCTGAAATGGGAACACTTTTTTCCCTAGGCCCTACATAACACATGTAACAAGCCAGTCTACTCACAGTTGACCACCCCTCCACTGTAGGCATCCCTGTGTGTGGCGTGGTAGATGGCCCTCTTACCCAGCTCATAGGCCTCCTCCACATTCATGTCCCACCTGTAGCCACTGTCCAGCACTCCGTAGGCATACGTGGAGCCTGACCCCACAGAGAACATGTTGTTAGACAGCCTGGTGCCGTCACTGTCCACATAGTACAGGCCGGGTCCCTAGGGAAGGTTGGGGGGAGAGTGGCTGTTAGTAGTGATAGAAAAGGAAAGTGATCTTGATCCAGTTTTAGCTTACTGAAGAGTTAACCTTCCACTAATCGTGACAGAGAAGACAGCACAACTTACACAACACAATCTAGCAAGGCTCAAATTACATTAATTGTAAAGATGCACATGATGTGCACATGAGAAAAAACATACTTGCACAATTTTTTTTCTTTACTTGCAAGAACAAAGTAGAATTTTAACACAGATTTAAACTACACTGTATGAACAGAAAGATCACTTTTCTTACATGCATTAGGAGCAGCTACTGTTTTTTCACATTATCATACCTTTACTGGATGTTTCTAGTGGTTGCAATTTAGTCTGTTAAGCTTCTTGCACTGGCAGAAGTGCAGTCAAAAATTATGTGCACCCCTCCAATGACGATTATGTCACTTGCACATTGTGGTGAATTTAAGGGGTAATTCAAGCCCTGTTTAGTATAACTATATCTTAACAACTGTGATTATTTCCTACCCTCTTGTCCCAGCCTACAATCATGGTGCCCATGGACAGACCCATGCCCTTGTAGTTGTACACAATGTTGGCCAGCAGCTTGGAGGCAGCAGCCACAGAGATTCTCTCCTTGTTCCTCAGTTCATATATTCTGTAATAAACAGAAGGATGGATTATCAAGGGATAATAAATAATAAGTAATGCCTTGTTTGTATTATTCTATTTAGTTAGTGCAAATTCTCTGGAAATTAAAAGAGGCCGATATAGAATATAACCTATGCGAAAGAATTTCAAAGTATTATAGTGCATAAGTTGTGGAAGACATTTAATACATCTAAAACTGTTTGTTTTATGACAATGTACGAAATAAGTTGTCTATGGAAACCATTTACAATTCACCCCAATACCTCTAACTTAAGTCTAAGCTTATGGACCAAGAAAAAAAAAGTTCTTTAAACTACCGAAAACGCCAAAATTTTTGAACAAGTGGGACATTATGTCTTCCATGGTTTACAAAATAGAAGTCAAACCCTTTAGACATAGCCCCAGTCAATAACCATTTATAATGTAGATTAGGTGCTTTTATGGTTATTTTGTACCCCATTTCACTGTTCATTAGTGGCAAAATTCCCTCACGCTGGCTAGAACACTGCACTACTGACTAACAAAATAAGAAGACTTGTTTACCTGCACTGCTCTGCCAGGACTCTCTCCCAGAAGGAACAGTCTGCTGCCCCGCCTGCCATGGTGCCCAGCAGGTAAGGGTTGATCTCTATAACCTTCTTCACTGTCTGGGATGCTGAAGAGTAAAGGGACAAACAAATGAGTGTCATTGTGGCATGATTATTTACTCTTGTACACATACAGTACAACTCAAGTTACATTTGGCACTTTGGCAGATAGCAAAAATGAATTCAAGATCAAGGACAAGTTTGATAACAGGGCCCCTAACAGCTTCCCTGGTGCTGCAAATTACAAGTCACCGGTTTTAACTTCAAGATAAACGTATTTACAGAGAGGAAGAAAGAGACTTGGCAGCTGAAATAGGCTTGGTAACCAGGCTACCTAGTACTAGTAACTTCTATCTCACCTATGTAAGACCCAGCAGTAGCTCTGGAGTCTACAGCCACGATGACGCCATGTTGCCATTTGAAGGCCAAGGTCGTGGTGCCGTGGTCAAACTCAATCTTCATGTTCCCCTCACCAGTAGTGAACGGCTTCAGGAACTCAGCCGGCTAGAAATGGCGGAAGGAAGAAATCTTTTTTTTTTCAAGATATGGCAAACGGGCAACACAACAAGTATAGATGAAAATATTTCTGCAAGGGAAAGACTTGGAAATCAAAAAAGCTTGAAGTACTACTTTCTGTTATTACTTGCAAGTCATATACATGTAATAATCTGCCAGATTATAATGTTATATGATTTTACTTGCCATATCAGAAAATCTTGTGCTATTATATGATACCCTAGCTACAGCTGTTGTTCCTGCCATGTTACAACTATATATATGTTTCAGGTATATACATGATGGGGGTCTAAATTGTGACTAAGGCTGAGATTCTTACCCTGCAAGTAAAGTATAATTTGCAAATTTGTTACATGCAAGTAGATGAATAAATTATATAGATCGCTTTTTACTTCGTAAGAGTATAGTTTTAAGCCCATTAAAAACGCATGTTCAGTCTCCTCAATATGCATAGCTGGGGTATGTAAAGAATTTATTCGCGTGAAAATATATACATTAATGAACCCGTCAGTGTAAAAATTTTACAAGCTTTGCTAACACTTGGCATGGTGTTGGGGGGGGGGGGCAATGACACAGCACACCAAACAATCGAGATTTCTCCCAAACGTTCCACTTACGTCGGTAACTGCTGGGATGGAAAACTTGTCCAGACTCCACAGATTGTTTAGAACGTCACTCTCATCGACGTCGCCTTTTCCACCAGGCCTGAGGAGGCCGATTCTTGGGTTCGGAGCCTGGAAATTACACACACTTTCTAGCGCCATCTTTGTCCTGTGAATTCTCGCGAGATCGTTGTCAAAGCGTGATTTCATCGGAGCAGCAGCCGTTGGACTGGCACGCCCCATAACGACTGTTGAATGAACTGCATCTTTTCTGCCGTGGGAAAGAAACGGCTGGATGTATGGATAAATCTTCTCATGGATTGATACATCTAGCCAATCTTTCATCATCAGTGGATTTAATAGGTCTCATCAATGATGAACGGGTTACTAGGATTTTCTTTCACTCGGAAACAGTCTATGTTAAAAGTTTCTAATCTTCCTTGGACTTATTCTAGACTAACAAATCGAACTTCTAGCATGATGATATGAAGCAGTCCACATAGCAAACATGATATATTAGCTATATATAGAATGACCCATTCACAAATTCTTGATGAGTTATGCCATATTTCTCCGGATCCCTTCTGGGAGCGAGGGAATCCTGACAGATCATTGTGACTAAACAAGCTTAAGTGTCACAGTGTGTGTGTGGCTTCCGATCAACCTTGGCCTCATGGGAACAAACGTTACCTACCTGTCATTCTCCCACACACAGCTATCCTGCGGCTATGCGGTATATATTCGTGGAATCCCAAGGCGAACGTACTGCCGTGGGATAGGTCAGCATGGGAGAATACCTAAATATCACCGTAATTAATCACATGCGGACCGCAAATATCAAGAAATTGCTTATATATATATAACAGAATTTGTTACATTTCATTATAGAGATAAGTTTTATCACATTTTAGAATTAGCCAATGAAACCCTAACAAGTTAACATATCATATCAAAGCATGTTTAGACCTAGAACAAGTAGTATACGTGACATGCCAACTCAACATGATGTTGATGTTCCTGTATATTCATATAGTCTTGTACGTAGGTTAAATCTTTTGTCTTTTGTCTGTCGTATATTTTTAGATCTGTTACGATAGTCACTGTACGTATGTACTTTTTGTTGTGTCACTGATGATCAAGTATGTATAAGGTCCTTGAACAGGTCCTTGAGATAACAAAGCCAGCAAAGTTCTCCTCAGGCACTAGTACGTTACCAGCTCACATGCCAAAGAAATGACTGTCTTCATTATTCACATCTCACCAGAGCGTGGGAAGGCTAAAAGTCCAACAAACAGAATCTGCGTATACGTATGAGAGAACAACAAATAAAAAAATGAGCGATGGATGGGAGGGTAAAAAGGGGGTTACAGAGTTATTTGACTTGTGATATTTACGGTAGACCGTAACGCTTTACTTCTCATCATGGGCTACAGTGTACAGATATGTACGATTACTTTTCCCGATGAAATATGTGAGTGGCTTTTATTCTTAACGTTTCATTTGAATTGCATGACTGGATATTTCGTCTGTCTCAAGTGCAACTGAAAAGCCTCCGCCTTTTCTGTCTCTTATTGACTATATATATTCTTCTTCCTTCTCGGTCTGTCACCCCTTCCTAATAATACGTGAACGCTATTTTGTATTTACAGGTAACCCACTGATTTAATCTATCTACGTACTCCCTCATGCCTTCCTTTCTCTATTTCCCCCCACTCTTTCTATCATGGGTCTATAGTAGTTTGGGAATGACCGAGTCGACTGCAGTTCATTTGACCTCCGCATGGCGCTATTTCTAAGAGACAACAGAAACCCCCATGATGAACCTTAATCATGTTTAGATAAATAAGAGGACACCTGGGTGTTCTGAACAGTCCAAGCCAGCTAGCTGACTTCACCGTTGACTACCCGACTTGACCATCGTGTACCACAGTCATACTCGTAAGTGTTTGCTTTCACCTATTCTCCATTTTAACCGTTTTAATTTGTGGTGTTCAATATACTAGTACAATGATGTTCGCCTGTTGACTTCTCGTTTCGTTTCTTCAACAGAGTTCACTACATTAGACCATATAAATAAATCCATACAGTGTGCAAATTGGGAAACGCATTACATAATGTTTAAATCTTAGAGACTACACGCAAAAGAATAGTTAAACCTCTTATGTCCTATATTCTGTACGGAGAATGACTTTATTCATACATGTACTTTGTTTTGTTCGATCTTAGTTGTAGACTAAGTATACTACCATACAAAACTCCTCATACTTTTGTTGAGTCTAAAAAGATTCTTACGTTTACTGAACACGTTTCGTCATGCTTTCCTGTCATACATAATACATAACACGTCCCTTTCTATTCACCTATTCTACCCGTGAATAGAAAAAAATATCGTATTTTTTAAAATGTTTTCTTGATTTCGTTCCTTCCATATCCTAGAAGTCTTTCTGTCAAAGCGTTTGAATACCGCAAGCTACAAGGCCATGTCATGTATATTTCTACCGGTATTATAGAGATGCTAAAGTTATATTTTACATAAATGTATGTTTAAGGATTGAGAGAATTTTCCTCGACAGCCAATATTGTGTTGCTAGGTCTAACACATAGACTTCAGCTTGATATCTTGCTCAGAAATGTCCTGTCCTTTGGTCAAATTTAGACGCGAAACTGCCGGGTAGATGTTAGTTCATGCTTTGGGCAGCTAGGTGAACTGTTCATTGACCGTCGTTTAGTCGTTCAAAAGTTGCAGAAAAACGACGTCACCTCTCTAGGAAAAATAACAGTATAAAATGTAAGGAAAAATCAATATAGCTGTTACTAGATTGGTATATGCTATAATAAGGCAATTTTCAGAGCTAGTTGAAGACTAAAATGTCTAGCTTTGAAAATTAAAATTTATTAGCTTCATACCCCTGTCACTTGCAAATCAATTGGCCGACGAGCTTGCGATCTAGCTCTAAATAACATTCTCTAAATTTCTACAGTGATACGCCTGGTGTCTTCTCCATCATCGTATAGCTTTTCGCTCAGGGATTGTAGCGTGTCGGCTGAGCTAGTCGGCTGAATTCACTGCTATTAAAGACCATGTTGATTTGATTATATGGATGACATCCGCGCGCGCATGACTTTTCGTCCGTTTCCAAGATTTCGACCGTACTGTAAATCGTACAAAATGTGCAAATATATGTCGTATATTGCATTTAAAAAGTATTGGAAAACCGTGTGTCGTGCACAGATTTGCCGCAGTGACAGGCCCACTCGTCACCAGATTTGCCAGCCATATCCCAGTTGTTACGTCCACATTTTCTGAACTGCACAAACTTCCTTTAATACTCCCACCTGCTTTGTTGTGGTTTGCTTGTATGATACGGTTGCGATATGATGGACATAGTTCTGTACAGATTTGCTGAACACCCTTCTATCTCTCTAGATTTGCTTCAGTGCACGTCTTACCAGTCTAGTTTCCCTGCATGACGACTCTTGCCTGCCTAAAAGTCGTAATCGATCAGACTGAATTACCATCAGGCCTACTGTATTTCATTAATCTGCAATCATTATGGTACATGAACCTTCGAAGTAAATTTGACAGCGTGGTTAGGCTTGTTGAATCAGAATCTGAAGGTTCTAAGTTCGAATCCCTGGCAGGCCCAACTGTTGTGTCCTTGACCTTGGGAAAGGCATGAGGCCAAAGCAAGTCATTCTTATATCCACGGCGCGGAATTGAATTTCATCCGATATAAATCTTGATGCCCTCCGACTGTGATCAACATGCCGAAAATATCGTAACATTAGCCACAAGCACGTTACAAATTAAATCTTCGTTTGCCTTTTGTATGCGACCATTCTAGCCCCAGTGCGCCTATGGCAGCAAAGTCACGACCAAGCCGTGGAACTCTTCATGCATGTCTCGCCGGTAAAGTGGCCCATAAATACGTTACAAATTAATCAACATTTGCCTTTTGTATGCGACCGTTCAAGGCACGGTGTGCCTGTGGCAGCAAAGTCGTTATCTCTCATGACCTCACCAGGGCATGAGAATATCCGGAGCTCCATGTCTCGCCAGTCAGCAACAAATACGTTACACATTTTGCTTTTGTATGCGACCATTCAAGCAACGGTACCGGGGCCCTTTAAGGCAGTAATTAAAGTCATTATCTCCCACCAGGTCAGTAAGGTCATGAGAATCTTCATGTCTTGCCGGTAACACCAATTGCAAGCACAAGTCACAATGTGCGACCATTCTATAGCCACGATGGGCCTAAGGCAGCAAAGTCATTTTCTCACACCGGGTCATGAAGGTCATGAAAATCTTCATGACTCGCTGGTAACACCATTTCTGTATCGGTAAGCCGGTGTCACAGCGATGTCGCCCTCCCGGTGGGGTGAGATCGCTAGATCTTGGCCCCTACCGTCTCTTAGTTTGTGTATGATTCAATTTTTCAATTTAGTTTTTTTTAATTGATTACACTGCATGAATTATTCTTGAAGGAGAACATTTTTTAAGAAAAATGTATTCTATAAGTTAAATCTTACGTTATTGTTATTTATTAGACACGAGTCCTTGCCTTTTTATCCAGTCGCGCATTTCAACATGTTCAGATAAATATGACCTTTCTTCCGAAGGTGTTTAAAAAGAAAAGATATTAATGTATTAAAGACCCTTGACTATTTCCTTTTTCCTCCCAACATCACCTGAAGCTATAAAAACACCATGAGGCTGTCAGTTCGCATGATGCTTGTGACGGCCGTTGTCATGGCAACGCTGATTGACGACTCCGACGGCCAATCAGATGGTACGTTTTGATAGTCACAAATATTTTGATTTTGTGGATGTTGATTTTATCACCACGTAGATGAATATTCCACGTCCAAAGTTTTAGTATTAGGCTACACTGATTTAATTTAATGGATGACATCTGCGTTGATTTTCGCCTGTTCTAAAAAAAGCACCTCCTCCAAAGCTAGCTTTGGGTACCATCCTACGGAGTCCCGTCTTGTTAGCTTTGGTCAGCTCCCAACGTCGCTATCCCGCCAATATGCTAGTACCAACGTTGGGAGCTAACAAGACTAGTACCATGCAGATTCCAGACTAGTACTAGATCTGACTGTAGGTTGTTTTGTCCAACAGTGGATCACAGTCTGACGTTCAGGACCGGCACGTCTTCTGTCAATTCTGGCAGTCCTGATACTTTGACAGTTGACA